GGTGTGTGTGTGGCATGTTGGATGTGTGTGGTGTGTGTGTGGCATGTTGGACGTGTATGGCGTGTGTGGTGGGCGCATGGCGTGTTGGACGTGTGTTTGTGTGCATTTGTGTGCGTGTGCCAGCTCTCACCTGCGTGGTCCGGACTTTGGCCTCGGAGGACAGGTTGTGGATGGTGTAGCGCGCCTGTGTGATGCCACAGAACAGCACCGCCACAATGCCTGCAAAAGCAGGAGAGTGGCATTTAATGTGATGCAAGGAGGGGAGGGCTGCACTGGGGCTGCACTGGGGCTGCATTGAGGCTGCACTGGGGCCCCATCAGGGCCACATCAGGGTGGGAGCCAGGGACCACAGCTCTGACTGCTGTATTAATGGGGTGCAGACTGTACAATGCTGGGGGTGCAGTCTGCACGCCGGCCGCATGGAGACAGCATAGAGGCTTAGAGAGTGTCAGCACCACCTGCTGCTCTGCCGGTCACACAGGATGGCATGGTGCTGGGATATATCAAGGTCCAATTCAAGGAAACAGAAGTTTTGAGAAGTAAAGCGAGGTTCCACCTTTGCACTTATTAAACCATGACCCTGCATAGATCACACCCTCACTGCACTTTTTTTTATATTAAATATGGATATTAAAATTCCATGAAAATGCAAATAACATGGATTGGGGGGGCATCTATTATGGGAGGGGTCTGCAGAGAAACTCATTAAACAGGCAGCCCAGCTGACCCATGCAGAGGGGCTCTAATTAAAGCGAGAGGTCTGATTAGCTAGAGCCCTGTGCTGGATATTAAACAGCACCGAGCTGCACACACGGCATGCAGTGCCACTGCAATGCACCACTGCAATGCACCACTGCTACTACTGGACATTAGAGGTTTGTCTGGCTTTATCTGCCCCCAATTTTGTGTTCCATTTCAGTTTTAATTTGGACCCCATTCCATACCTGTCTGTGGGCCTCTTAAATCAGTCTGTAATATTTACAGCTGAATCATCATTAGGTCTCTGGGGGGTGCCATGTTGGAGGGAGGGGTCACTCACCACTGAGACCACAGGCCTCTGCTGACAGGAAGGAGCTCCAGGAGAACAGGAAGAAGAGCCCGGTTTCCAGTAGGGGGAGCTCTCTCAGCTGAGTGAACTTGGTCACGTACTGCCCACGGCTGGGTCAAGGAAAACCAGTCAGTGCAAGTAAACCAGATATACAATGTGCCTGTGACAGAATGCATTCTGGGTAATTGCACACAATGTTCACTATATTGCCAAATGTATTAGGACACCTGCCTTTACACACACATGAACTTTAATAACATCCCAGTCTTAATACGTAGGCTTTAATGTGGAGTTGGCCCAGCCTTTGCAGCTATAACAGCTTCAGCTCTTCTGGGAAGGCTGTCCACAAGGGTTAGGAGTGTGTTTATGGGATTTTTTGACCATTATTCCAGGAGAGCATTTCTGCGGTCAGTCTCTTCTCTAAATCATCCCAAAGGTGTTCTATCGGGTTGAAGTCAGGGGTCTCTGCAGGCCAGTAAAGTTCCTCCACACCAGACTCGCTCATCCATGTCCTTATGGACCTTGCTTTGTGCACTGGTGCCCAGTCATGTTGGAACAGGAAGGGGCCATCCCCGAACTGTTCCCACAAAGCTGGGAGCATGAAGTTGTCCAAAATGGCTTTGAATGCTTCAGCATTAATAGTTCCTTTCACTGGAACTAAGGGGCCAAGCCCAACCCCTGAAAAACAACCCCATACCATAATCCCCCCTCCGCCAAACTTTACACTTGTCTGTGCCTCAGAATCATGACACGCATGACGCGGAAAGGATATCAGGGCCGTGATGACGGTGTACGCCAGACCCATGGTGAAGGAGCCAGCGAAGACCCCCAAGAAGCGCGCGGCGGAGAGGAAGAAGGAGCCGACATGGAAGGCGGACCCTCCCGTGGCTGCGTCGTAGCTTGATATGGTGCTGAAAGGGAGAAGGGACATTGGGTCTAAACCGGGCTGCCAACATGGTGATATTTAGGGTCACATTACGGGTGAGATAAATGGCTATTGCTGTGGCCGCGTCTCTCAGGGGGGGGCGAATGAAAAAATGGAAAAGGAAGGAAAACAGGAAGATCACACATGCTGTTTAGTTCGAGTGGGCACAGGTGACAAGAAGTGAGTGACGCACCGTACTCACTATGTCAGCACGATGGCCACGGCGTCGTTAAGCACGCTCTCGCCGAACAACAGTATGTAGAGATCGGAGTCCACATGCAGCTCCGTGAAGATGGCCAGCACCGTCACTTTAAGAGGCACAGAGAGACATGGAGGTGCGTGGGGGGGGATGTGCTACCCCACGATATACAGTCCCTCCCACCTGGGCCCCCTCCTGGCCCTGACTCCCCCACCCCAGGCCTGAGACCACATCAGGATGTCGGGCTTAATAATGGGGTATCTATGCTTCTTACTGCAGAAAAACTTCAAACCTAGCGCTGCGTCTAAATTGGCCAGTGTGATGATCTTAAAGGGCTGGTCTGACTGTCTTAAACAGCTGGGGTGATGGTCTTAAAGGGCTGGTCTGACTGTCTTAAACAGCTGGGGTGATGGTCTTAAAGGGCCGGCATGACAGTCTTAAAGCTCGTGGGAGTTTTACTTACATAAAAATGTTCTGGGGGCAGAAGGAGAAATGATTGGTTCAGAGAGATAACCAATCAGATTGTAGTGGTGGGTCCAAGCAACTAGAGGAGGTGGGATCAAAATATCTGATTGGTTGGTCCCATCTCCTCTAGTTGCTTGGACCCACCTCCTCTACAATCTGATTGATTATCGCTCTGAACCAATCATTTCTCCTTCTGCCCTCAAGATATTTTTGTTAAGTAAAATTCCCAGCGGTGTTAAACGGCTGGTGTAACATGTGTCTGTAGGTTTGAGCCCCTTCATCATCTGTCTCCATCACGTACAGGTTCACTTCCCCCAAGCGAGAGCCATAGAAGGCTTGGTGAGGGCGGCCCACCAGCCCTGTGCTGACGGTGTTCCAGGGTATCTGGTGTCCCCTGTGTGATCATGGTCACCAGTGGGTGTGGCTAATATGCTTGATCTACTGGGTTTACGAGGTAATAAGAGCAGGGAGCCTCCGGGTGGGCTGCTTGCTGAAAGTGCGGCAGGGTGTTGATTCACACCCCCACAGTGCGCAGACGGCCGTTACACCTGACCTGGGGGTGCCCCCTCCCTTGTGTTCACACACTGACTAGGATTCTGTTTAGATCCCCCCAGTCACGCCGATTCTCAGCCACCTCCTCACCGTGTGGCCCTGTGGGGGAAGCCCAAGGCAGCCCCCCCCCCCATACACACACATACACACCACCAGGGAGGCACTACACCTGGACCCCCTCTGGCCCCCTGCCTCACTATCAGCCCTCTCTGTCTTCCCAAAGCAGCATGGTTACTGTAGCAGAATAAGCAGTGACTCCGCCCCTGACTCCTCCTCCCCTGACTCCTCCTCCACCCCCAAAGTAGAAGACTGGACCCTGACCTTCCGGAAATCACACATGGGACGCATCCCCGGCCAGCTGAGGCCGTAATGCCTCTGTCCGCATTCCCGCACGGAAATTCTCGGTCTGATCTTCCAGTGGGACCAGGGACCAGGTCATTGCTCGTAGTGTTGCTAACGCTAGCCCAGACTGACTAATCCCTCCCGATATCTGAACACGGCTTTCAGCCTTGGGAATGGATTCCGGGGAGTGCCCCCTGCCCCCTTCTGGATTTCATGGCCATGTTTCCCACACGTGGGGAACTCATGAAAGTCAACAGGGAAACTCTGAGAAAACCTGATCTGGACTTAGAACAGAGCCATGGGAACTGTGTGACCGCCCCTCACCCCCGACCAGGGGCGACCAGCACATCACCCATATCCGCACAGCTCACCTGCTCCCCCCAGACTGGTTCAGAGGAGGCCTCTGATTTTGCTGGAAAGTCTGACAATCGTTGCTTTGATTCATGTCTCATGAGTGTTTACTAAGTGCCACTTGAAATCACTGGGCTGCAATCGCATTATAACAAGAGGCTGCATGTCTACGGTTTGGATAATTTAAATGCCATGTGCAGAGAGCCATGCCAAGCAGAGGGACACCACCAACACGCGGTTCCTGGTCTCCATCCTCAGGGTGACCTTGCCCCTCGCACACCTCTGTTAGGGAGAGAGCTGACACACCACGGCAGAGAGGACCAGAGTGAGATCAATCACAGAAATGACACCTCAACACTCACCAGTGAAGTATTTAACACTAACAAAACAACAGCATGTTGGGAAAGACAGAGCATCTGCATGAGCTTTCATCAAATTCCAATTAAGCTGTTTAAGCAAATTCAATTTTTCGAGAAATGACATTGGCAATACTTTCGTAGAAACATCGCTACAGGAACGGCGCGTAATCACGTCACAAGGCTATGTGGGCGTTGGGGCAGGGGGGTCACCTGGGACACTTCGTGAGCTCACCTGCAGATTACCTGTGAAATTACCCCCCCAAGTCGGGTTACATAATGCAATGCAGGGCGAAATAAGCAGCGAGTCTGAGCGTATGCCAGTGCGGTAGGTCAGGGTGCGATTGAATTGGGGGCTGCAGTGGAAATGGGCGGAATGTTCCGCACGTACCTGGGTCAGTGGCTGACATCAGAGAGCCGAACAACAGGCAGTCCTTGAGGCTGAAATCACCATCCACGACGTGGCCCAGACGTACCATCAGCTGCACGAAGCCGAACATGCAAAACCTGGGAAGGGGTACAGTGTCAGCGCCAGGGTGATGCGGGTGCCACGGCAACGAGGGCGCTATGGAGATGGGGGCGGGGCTTAGTGGTCCAGATGACTGTAGCAGGGAGAACTTGCACATGCTCTGGTGGTTCGTGCCACATCAGGTGAACTCATTTCCTATGACGCTCTTGGGCTGTTAATTAGTACAAAAGACCAATTATTAACTTGTTAATTTGACCACAAAAGCAGTCTAATGAAATATTGCCCCAGAAAGTCACTTGCAGGGGGACATGTCAAACAAGTCCCGCAAGTGTGACAATCAGGTCCAAACAGCCTCCAAAAGAGTGCAGGGAATTGAAGGCTGTGGTGATTTTTACCGCGGTGCCAAACATCAGGCAGGCTGTCTCTTCACAGAGAGGAGAAACAGTAAGTCGGTCAGGCCAGAGTGAGCCAGTGGGCTTTTAACACCAGGGAGTCTGTGATGATGTGGACCAGGAAGGTGCCACATCATCACACTTTGCAAAATTGTTTCCGTTTTAGGTGTGACTGCATTTTTTCTGCGGCAGATGTTCTGGCTGATGCTCCTGCTGTACTGTGCTCTGGGGGATTGGAGAAATGCTGTTTCTGATTTGCAGAATGAGGTGGGGCTCCCTGTTTTTCACAAAGAAGGGGGGGGGGGTGGCAATAGCTCTAAAAAAAAAGTGAAGTCTTTTTATTTAATCCTGAACAGGACTAAAAAAACAGGGAGGTCTGACGGTGGACAGTAAAGTACACAGGCGCTGTGTGCTAAAGACGTGCGAGGATCGGACAGGGTTCACATAAGACTTGGGCAAACACACACACGATAATTGGGAAATACAACAAATATTAACATTATGGAACAAAGGGCTATATACAATGTCCCAGCATGCTCAGCGCATCTCGCCGGGGCTACAATATCGGGCTGGACGATGTGTGACACAAAAACTTTTCTTACTTCACTAGTCTGTTAGATTAAGATCAGACTTTTTCTTACTTTAAATTCTGTAAAATTAGTGAAATTATAAGTCAGTGCAAAAGGGAAAATACCAAAAGTACTATATAAAGTACAGTACCTGGTGCGGTGGAAAAGCACCCAAAGCTTCTGTGCAGATGGAAACTCACTTCCAGAAGTTGCAATAACTTAGCATTTTTCAGATGTTAAGGGAGGGGAAAAATATATTAAAAAATACTGAGAAAAAATGTAATAAAAAAATACTGAGTAATATATATATATGTATACATATACATAAACACATACACATATATACGCATATATACACAATGGTACCTCAGCTCTCAAACTCATTAGAACTCGAATTTCTTAAAAGTCGAACCAACCAGTTCGAAAAAAAAATTGCCTAGAGCTCGATCTGAATCTCAGAAGTCAAACCGTGAACACCGACCTAAGATAATTTGTACGCGTGGAGAAATGAGTCACACAGCATCAGACTCTCTCAGCGGAAACAAATTGTAACGCTTCAGTCTGTCTCGCATTCGCTGTGATAGCATCCTGTACGTTTACATTAGCTGAATACATATATTTAGACAGTAAAAATACATTTAGACAATGATAGACACTAACAGTAATTATTATTATATAATAAAATACATTTAAAAATAAAGATTTCGTATTCATTATTTTAATATTAATAATAAACCATTATTACATTTAATTATAATAATATTGTCGTGCCGAGTGGGGACGGAACGGAGACAAAGGCGTAGTCATCAGGGTATCGGGGAATACGGGGTCTAATTACAGGTAAGGCAGGCAAAACGCAAACGGACAATACAATGACTGGACTGGGGAAACAAACTGAAACGCGGACTAAATACAGAGGACTAATGACAACAACCAGAAAGAGCTGATCACACGGGGATTCCACACGGAATTAATGAGGGGGCGTGGCACACAGAAGGAGCGGACGATCGGGGCAGGACACATTGTTTTTTTTTTTAACTTTACACATTGTTAGGATACATTTATTTTCTTACTTTACAAATTAATATTTTGATAAATGTGCTTAGATGTGTTTAGTACAGTATATGCTCAGTTTAAATGCTAAAAAAAACATATTTAGGTTTATTTATATTTATTTGGGGCCGGGAACCAAATAATTGGTTTTCCATTATTTCTTATGGGGAAAATTCGATCAGAACTCGAACTTTTTAGGATTCGATCTGGAGTTTTGAACGGATTAAATTCGAGTTCTGAGGTACCACTGTATATATATACACACACACACACACACACACACACACACACACACACACGCTGCGTGGCGGGAGTAGGAGCCAGAAGGCTTACTAGGTGGAATTGGCACGCAGAAAAGAATTTGATGTTGCGGACAGGAAACGGGATCCCAATTAACATAATTTGGACTCACAGTCTCCTTCGTTCGTTTGTCTGACAGTTCGTAAGTTGAAACTTCGTAAGTAGAGGAGCGTCTGTATAGTTAATGAAACCATCAGCAGCTGGTCTACCAAGGAGACAAGGGGAAGACGCTAAAAGACATATTATGGGATGCACTGCATGAACTCCACCTCAGGCCTGGTGACCTGACACAACACATTTATGGGAGCGTTTGCCCACTGTTACCCTGCCAGTATGCTTCCACTGAATCATCAATTTTACAGAAAATGTAACGGGTCAAAGAAATTACGATAATTTTCCAAAGCAGAACTGCGAAATTCCAGGTCAGGTTCCCTCCGGGATCTGTAGATGTTACACTAACAGCGCCCCAGGCGTCGGGACTGTCTGCTTATCATAGTTCCCCCAGCTGCATTTTTGCTGGTTTGATTAGTACACATACACTCTATTGCCAAAAGTATTGGGACACCCCTCAAAATCATTGAATTCAGGTGTTCCAATCACTTCCATAGCCACAGGTGTATAAAATCAAGCACCTAGACATGCAGACTGCATCTACAAACATTTGGGAAAGATTAGGTTGCTCTCAGGAGCTCAGTGAATTCAAGCGTGTTACCATGATAGGATGCCACCTGTGCAATAAGTCCATTTGTAAAATTTCCTCGCTACTAAATATTCCACGGTCAACTGTTAGTGGTGTTATAACAAGGTGGAAGCAATTGGGAACAACAGCAACTCAGCCGCTCAGTAGCTACAGACCTCCAAACTTCGTGTGGCCTTCAGATTGGAGTGAAAAATCATGCTTCTCTGTCTGGCAATCTGATGGATAAGTCTGAGTTTGGCGGTTGCCAGGAGAACGATACCTGCCTGCCTGCATTGTGCCAAGTGTAAAGTTTGGTGGAGGGGGGATTATGGTGTGAGGTTGTTTTTCAGGGGTTGGGCTTGGCCCCTTAGTCCCAGTGAAAGGAACTCGTAATGCTGCAGCATTCTAAGCCATTTTGGACAATTTCATGCTCTCAACTTTGTGGGAACAGTTTGGGGATGGCCCCTTCCTGTTCCAACATGACTGTGCACCAGTGCACAAAGCAAGGTTCATAGGGGCATTAATGGGCTAGTCTGGTGTGGAGGAACTTGACTGACCTGCATAGAACCTTGACCTCAACCCAATAGAACACCTTTGGGATGAATTAGAGCAGAGACTGCGAGCCAGGCCTTCTCGTCCAACATCAGTGCCTGACCTCACAAATGCTCTCCTGGAAGAATGGTCAGAAATTCCCATAAACACACCCCTAACCCTTGTAGACAGCCTTCCCAGAAGAGTGGGCCAACTCCATATTAAAGCTTATATATTAAGAATGGGAGGCCATTAAAGTTCATGTGTGTGTAAAGGCAGGTGTCCCAATACTTTTGGCAATATATTGTATATCCCCAGGAAAATGCTAACTAAAAGGTATGTTGAGTTACTTCTGTATGAGGCTGGTGGGTGTTTCCAGTCCAGAGTTTGGCTGGTGTTGCGTACCAGACGGCATGGAGAGTGAGCTGTCACCTTGAGAGAAACCCCAGAGAGAAACACGCTGGTAAAAAGCGATCACTGCCGGGGGAGGGGGTGGGCTTACATGCCTGAACCTCAGGATCAAATAGAGCAGAAACAAGGTAAAGGAGTCTATGATATCCTGATGACACACGGACCTCAGCCTGATGCTGTTCTCTGAGCATCGTCGATCTCCCAGGACTGGACCACAGACTGCACAGTGTGCTTCTGGAAGAAGGAGTTTCAGTGGATAAGGAGATTTTGTACATGTTCCGAAAGCTGCAATGGATGACTGGAGGTGTAGATACTGACATCAAAATTGGTTTATATATCAAGGGGGGCAGTTTGGCCGTGGTTAAAGCCAAGGAGACAGGTGGCTCTGAGGGACAGGTAACATCTGGATTCCTCCACAGAGATGCTGTGCACATCTGTCCTACTGCTTCAAGCCAGAGGGCTGCAGTAAATCCTTGCCAAGCCAAATGCCAAACTCAGACACTGTGGAAGGAGCCCGGTACCGACATCTGCTCCTAATAACCAGCAAAAGACCACAATCCAGAACCACCTCGAAAACTAGGCAGAACCGCAAAGAACAGAAACACAAAACCATAAGCGAAATACGATCCCTAATCAGACAATAACTCCATGTAAGTCGAACGATTTGAAACACAAAAATGCTTTCAATCGCCAAACTGTTGAACGTGTGAAAAGATGCACTTCAGCTGGCAGAGTGGTGTTACTTTGGGCTACTACAAATTTAACAAAGGCGATCAGCGCCCCCTATTGGTGACGAAGCAGATCGCTAATGGCTAAGAATATATACATTCTTAACGCAAAATTTAGATGCTCCAAATACAATTGATGTATTTGAATGAGGCCGCATATATTCAATGTCATTCTACGGCAATTAAAACTGGAGAGAAGTAATAACACAGCGGTGAAATTCTCCAGACCAGTTGGTTTTCAAAATGAAAAGATAAGGAGTAAGCATGCTGTAGTTTGGAAACGAGCGACTGTAAGTGTAAGCTGTTGCTGTCTCCACTGGCTTCCTTTAATGCTCTGCTCATGCTCCGGTTTACACACGTATCTCCCAGATGTCTTTTCGCTCTGATTTCTTTTCTTTTCCCTTTTTATTTCTTATCTTTCATACGGCGTAAAATGAAATGTAATGAAAGCGTGTTGTTGCTGGCAAACGGGTCATAGCCTCTATATCCCGGGGGATCAGCGACATCCGGGACATTGATGTCCCCCAGTATCACCGGATTCCTCCATTCATCAGCAGGACTCACCCTATAATCCCGCAAGTGAGCAGAGTCCCGATGAGGGCGAAGGTCAAAACGGAGCCAATGTTCTTGAAAAACTGCCTCTGCGTCAGAAGAAACGGCAGCGAGTCAGCGCACATGAATGAAAAAAACAGATCGTAGTTTTAAATATGAACAGGACTTGCGCACCTGGTTTAAACTGTACGCTCCGTGAAAAATGATGGGCGGCAGCAGCAGATTGAAGAAGATCTCGGGGTTGAAGGCCATCTGAGGAGATACATGATGACCAAGCTGTGAAGCTCCGAGCTTCGAGAAACATAAAGCCAGCCGCACTTATAGGCACTTAAAAAACAGCGTATATGCAGCACACCGCCCTTCCCGACGTATATGTCCACCTAACCGTGAACTTTATAGCATCAAAATGAGAAATTTATTGAGTGTTTTGCACTACTGTAATCTGCCGTGACAGTAAATGCTGTAAACGGTGTTTTTCTTAAAAGTCTCTGAAATCATAGCAGTTATTTTACTTATAATAGCTGTTCCTCGTGACGGTGAACTCCCTGTGCCTTTATAGCATGGTTATTTGCCTGAACCGCTTGGAGATTGCAGTCCTCAGCTGAATGATACTCGTTTCTGTGATTGACTGGTGATTCTTTGCTGGATGCGTTTCAGGCTGTGCACTGATGTCCCTCCTGGTCTCACTGAATTTCTAATGCATTTTACATAACGTCGTTTCTGGGTCTGTGATGGAGCTCGACACCTTCCTGGGCTTTGCATAGCACACTAATTACTGTCAATCCCACATCAGCATCATTAACCCTCTCCTAGCACTTCAGCTGCTTCCCGGGCCGGTTTCCATGGTAACCCTCCGGTAACAGCCTTTACCTTTGGGCAAAATAATGCTAAAAGTGAAAGGATTCAGACTGCGAATTACATAAACATGCAGATGTCAGAAAAAACATCGCTTCTTCTCATGTACGAGCAATTTCAAGGATTGCAGAAAGGAAAATGGTAATTGACTCATTTAAATGCGTTTTATTTCGTGAATAGAGCACTTGACTTGCTGTGAAAAACAAGCAGTAGAGCACAGATCCTTGCGCGTACTTATTAACACACCTTACTGTCACCTGAGCTGGGGGAACCTAAGCACGTCTGTCATATAACACGATCTCAACACGTTTCTCTCAGTATAAACTTGCTTGAAAAGACACGCAAATCTGGAGGAAAGCCATTGCCTCCAAAACGCAGCACAACGCCACACTCTAGTGGTTTAAAATGACTGTTCAGAGTAAAGTTGGATTGGAGCCCAGAAGTGCGTATAAAACACCGCACGTCTGGAATTTTATCTGAAAACACTGAAGGTTTCTGCTTTCACTCTGAAAAAAACGATTATATTACCATGCCACTGATTTTCAACAGCTCTTTGTGCATCATTTTATATTTCAATGGAGCCAACAAAACAAAAATTTTATCTCAAAAAGAAATATATCAGAGTAGCCTATATCCTGGTAGTTTCGTTCACATAACAGTGCGGCTGTTTTATATTGTCAAACTGCCTTTTCAGTAGATCCGCAGTAGTATAATCAGTCCACAAATTCTACAGCCCTGTCCTTGAATGACGAGCCTTCAAAAGGATACAGTAATTGCAGTGAGATCCTTCTTTCCCTGCTTGGACCCATCTGTGTGAGAACTTAATCACTCAAAGGCCATCTCCAAACTATCCAAGCGAGTCCTCGCTACCTGTGCACTGATTGAGCCTTTTCATGCTATTTATTCTCTCCGTAGGGAGAAAGAGCGTGATTCTCAGAGATCTCGGCTGCTTTTATCGCGGCCCTCCAGGGGCAGCTAATGGACGGCGCTCTCTCATTCACAGAAGAGTCCAGACAAAGCGGCATGCAGGTCAAAGCCTAAGATATACTGAACCTCAGTGCTGGTTCCAGGTGTACCCAACCTCAGCTGGAAATGGACCAGGTTTCAAACTAACAAGCTTGTGACTTTAAAGCAAACGACGCAGTGTACTTGTACACTCTCAGGCGAAATGCAGCAAAATAAAGAACAAGTTAATAACACAGGCCTATATTAAAAACCAGACAAACAGGATGGTCTGGCATTATTAATATTTTGTCATTTTCCACCAGTTTGCAAGCTCTGTGTTGAAATACATGCAACGTTATTCTGTTCTTGAAATGTAGCATGTTGGGGTCAGTACCACCCGACCCCACCCTCGGTGACCTTTCCCCATTTGGCCAGCAGGCATTGCTGGTCATTCTGCCTTTCCCCTCTATCTTAGTTCCTAGTCTTCCATAGTGTGTCTTCCCTGTTCCCCAGACAGCTGTGTAGCTCTGTGGGTTGAGTGTGTGGTTATAAAGCCTTTGGTAATCTGTTCTAGGTCAGCTTCCTCCATTTATTTGTAATTTTTGGATTTTGTTCCCCAGTGTTTATTTTCTACTTTAGTTTTCCTGTTCCTAGTTTTTGGTTTGTGTTCTGTTTTGGGTTTTGCCAGGTGCCTGTGTTTGTGATCATGTATTACCTGTTTTTGTTATATTCTTAGTATTTGATTCTGTTTCTTAGGTTCCCTGTTGGTCTCTTGTTTCCATGATTAAGTTCATTAGATCCCCGTTTACTGTTTCCCTGTGCCTCACGATTGTTCTACCTGATTGCTCATTGTCCAGTGCCCTCTCTGACTGGTTAATTGTTCCATGCTTTGCTCCTGCTTCTTTGTTACTCAGTTCAGTTTGTGTATTTATGTTGCTGCCTTAGTTCATATCCCTAGTTGGTCATTGTGTTACAATGTCAGTTACTGTGTGTTTGTTTCTCTGTTCCCTTGCCTGCTTCTGGTTCCACTGTTGCTCTCCTTCCCTCTTGTGCTTTCCTATGGATTCTTGTAGTTACTTATGTTTTCCCTGTTTGCTTTTTGACCCCCCCCCCCAGGGTCATTTTGGTTTGTAGTTTACCCCAGTGTGTTCTGTTCCACTAATAACCCCGTTATCTCGCGAGCTGCCAGTGGATCATCCCCTTCTCTTCCTGCCTGCACCATGCCACGTGACCGTGAGAGTAGCATTAAATGACTGGTTTCATTCGTTTAGGGGAGAAGCTACCATCTTCACACTGTAGTTTATACCGTGCATTTAGCAGGTTATAATCACATACTTGTGTGCAGGAAAAAGGGCTCACAAAATGAACACAGACGTAACGTTTTAATTTGACTGCCAGTGTGGTTAAATATATTCATATTTGAACTTTATAAACAAAATGCAGTGAACAGAATGCATTTATACACATGCACTGGGTAGAGATGCTGGAAAGCAGCTTGCTCTCCAAGCCGCAGTGCCGAAATTGCTTTGTCTGGGGAATAATAATAACAATTAATAACTTCCTCATTTATGTTTATTGACTGAGGTTATGTTAACTCACGCTGCTTTTAGGTAGGACAGTCGTGGCTTTATTATTGTTGTGGTCACCATATTGTAAATATTTAATCCTGTTTAAGAAAACGTGCGGTAATGAGATTCATTCTGGCTCACCTATAACTAATCCTGGCCAACCCATCGGCCCAGCATCCGAGTATTATTCACCTGAACCACGTGTACCCCGGTCATGGAAAGACAACTGGATACATGTAGGGAAAACCTCCAAATATTACTAGGGAGGTGACAAGTCATATTGGAAGACCACAGCCGCAGGTGAGGAAGAGCCACTTTACCTTATGGAGGATGGAGCCTGCAGGCAGGGCTTGGGGATTTGGAGTGACTTCTCCCACGTGATAATACTCGTGAATGCGCTCGGTGACGTTCACCAAAAGGAATTTTGGGGTTGTGTTCAGATTTACACACTCGTGAATCTCCCCGGTGCCCCTCTTCCACGGGGTGGCTGCCAGCTTCAGAATTAATCCCAGAATAAAACCTACGTGTAAAAATGAAACCTTCAAATGCCTTTCCAGGAGATTAAACCATCTGTCAGCTAGCAGGATGGCATCACACAAAGTGAAGCCATAGCTTCTGCGTTTCACATCAGGGCCGTTTTGCGTTTTCAGGTGCTTTTTCAAAATGCTTATTTGAAACCGATTATCTTAAATGAACGCAAGATCAACGTGGTCAGATAAACCCGAAAAAAAGCACTTAGAAGCACCAGACTTAATACTGAGTTACATGGTAAACACTGCCGCTAGGCAGAGGGACATTTTGAGCAATTCATTATAATAACTATTGTTTAGATTACGGAAAAGCCGTGCTCAGTGGTGCAGCCTTTTGGTCACAATCCACTACGTAGCGTGGTGATCATCTCATCTGCAACCAGCAAAAAATGCCATTTACATCTGCCGGGCAGCGGCCAGTGTGCTGACTTTCTGGCACCACCGAGACACGACGTTACCGCATCCTTCCCATTTCTGATACTACAGGGGAACTGTGTGCAAGGTGGTGTAGAGGCAGACAGCGAAGCAGGAAGCGGGGTTAGAGGAGGAAGTGTAGCCTTCAGGCTAAAAGTTTATATGAAAGCTGTTTAATGAGGCGGAGAAACTATTACTGAGTCATTGAGTTATACTGACCAGCCTAGCTTACAGAAAATAATACGACCTAACAGTGTAAAAAGCTGCGCTTTATTTCATACACCCTGTACTTAAACGTCCACCAGGAGAATACCAGACTGATTACTTTGTCAATGTTTATGACTTTTTTTAAAGCTCTCAATTTTTTCTTCACACCATCCGCAATTTTTTAAACTTTAAAACGCTGAAAAAGGACGCGGTGAAAACGAGCCTGAGTGACTGCAGCATATGCAAAGCCGCCTTACCATAGAGCATAGCCCCTCCAGTTTCGTGTAGAAATCTCACTTGGCGTTTTTTAAGCACCCACATGGTTAAAATGGTGAGAATCAGTATGGCAACGAGCAGGAGGAGCTCCGTGCTTTCCCTGCGGTGCCTCTCCAGACCCGTAAGCATCTTCTGTCCAGCTAAACCCTACAGACAGCAGGACAGGTGCATTCGGTGACAGCTCTTCTGTGTGCTGCATGCATTCACTTGAATGCTGCAGGAGCTGCATCTGAGCGAAAAGCTGCAAAGACTTTCGGGAGATCAGTGCATCACAAGAGTGTGCCACTTCCTCAAAGCGCTTGTTTTCCGTTCACGGGCTGCTGCTGTTCAACAATGCAACGGGAGTCCCCCCAAGAAATGGAAATGGAAACTAACGAATGCAAATATGCATTTTAAATAAATTTGACTTTGACCGATCAATGAGCACGATTAATATTGCAAATTGTTTAAACAATAAACAATCTCTGGATGCAATGTAATAAGGCACTCATAAACCTTATCATCCTTAATTAAAAAAAACATCCCGACCAAATCTTTACCAGGTTTATAATATATCAGCATTACCTGAGAACAACTAACATTTTGTACACTCTGTACACATTTAACATTGCAGATAAAGGTTTGCGACCTGCTGCTTAACAGTAGGATTCTTTTCGCGCGTTTAAAGCCGAAATGAGCCATTTCAAACTATGTGACAGTTCACCAAACCTACCGCTAGATGTAAGCATAGGAACACAGTTTATATATACAAACGCCTTGCACCCCCGTGGGAGTAAGATGCAACGTGGTCTATGAAGAGAATACTGACACATAAATAATATTTTATAATAATTTTAGACTCTCTAATCGGCCCATGAAAGCCAGAAGTTTTACAATTATTATTATTCTCATTATTTACAATTTACGCGCACTGCTCGCTAAATCACAAACCATGTTTTGTCCAATCTAAATTGTCGCTAAATTATTGCATATAAATAACTTGTATATTTGTTTTAAACACAAATTCTTACAGTGAAAACATTTTTTTATTTCGATTGTAACACCAGTCAGGAAAGTAATTGCGCTATAGGCCTATCAGATACAGGAAACGATAAACTTCACAACGATTTCCTCCAAGATTGTACCAGATAAGCTATATAATTATACCTATGTTTTTGTCATTCGGCCTACTTGTAATCATCATACTCGGTTCGCAAATGTAAGAGTATGATCCGAGCAGGCGATCAGACATGATAAACCGTCACGATTAAACGAGAATCACTATTCTCAAAAAAAAAAAAATCACAATGGCTTACTTTTACATTGTTTAGACAAGATATTTTGTGGGGACAGTGACTACATCGTGTGAAATTACGCACTTTTAAACATAGTTAGGCCAAAATCTTGTAAGGTTTTAATGACATTGTGCTTACATGGGACTGTAAAAATGAACATTTCAGGTGCTCTCATCGTCTTTCATAAACTATTTTCAATCCATGAAATTAGGGTGTAATTTTATCCAGTCGTTCAGAATGTATATTTTTACCTAGGCATATGTTTAAAGTGGGTGGAAGTTAAATGAGTCTGTGGACCTGAGGATTTGTCCCACACGGGGACCGACGCTTATTTCACACTATCTGAATACTTAACACTTTATTTCAACTGGTTTGTCTGTGCCATTAACGCGTCGACGTGTAAACCCAAGCGCAAATTTTAAAATAAGGATGGCGAGAAAAAACGAGTTTCAAAGAGCGCACTCCGAGGTCTTGGGGGGTTGATTCAATGCCTTGACGACTGCCTAGAAACCGCTAACGTAAAGAGACCACGGGAGTCGCAAACATGAGTGTGGCGGCACAGGATTCTCGCTGGGAGGCTTTGTGTGTGGAGGAGACCTGGAATCCGGAGAGGGAGGTGTAGGTCCGTTGGAGAAGAGGAAATACGCAAACGGAGAGATACAAACACGGGGATTTTTTAATGAACGCGTCGGAAAGGATCTGCATGTGAATATGACTGTAAGAACCGGAATCCTACTCTCCTCCGAGGACTGAGCGTCCATGTGCGTGTTTCACTGCTTCTGCCACAAAGTAATCAGATCCAGGGTGTTTGAGAGAAGATCGGGCAAAGCACAGCGCGAAACACACGCCGGCCGAGAGGGACACACTGCCCGGTGGATCTCATACTGCTTCTGATTACAGCGCCTGTAAGTAAAGGAGGGCGTTTAGGGTCCTTATATAGCCTCCAGTGTTTCTGCCGTCTATCTGTTTATTTACACGATCGGTGCTTGATTTCACTGCACATTCAATTGCGCTTGAAACTATACATCCGATGAAAGATCAGATCGCTGTGCGATGTTTTGTTAGTTCAGTGTATATATGACATTAATATAAATCTAACAGCCGAAAGTCCTGCTGTGTTCGGCTTGATAATAATCCCTTATATACGCCATTTGATCGACGCGTTACTTGTCTCCCCAGTTGTTAAAACGCTGCGCGATTCTTCAGAAAAATATCTAATGCATTTCATTACTTTCCAGCGAGGCTGTTCGGCAGCAAACATGGTTGGACTTTATTTAGTCCTGTTTCAGCTGCAGCCGATGAGTCCGTGCCATTCCGGTCCTAACAGTTAAAAAGAGGTATTAAAGAGATGAATAAGAGGCGAAAGTAGTGAACAAAAAGTCTGCTGTGTCCCGGCTCTTTAGCCGGAGGGGGGACGGCTCAGGGTGCCCGGGCATGGGGGAGTATCATGGGCAGAAACGGCCGTGTCAAAGAAGTATTTAATCGCAGGGTAGTTGCGGTCTGGTAAAATATAGAGTATGACTTTACGGAGAAGGCAGTTTAATTGCATTTATTTAATCTCCAAACACAATTTGCTATAACATTTGGGCAGCGTGAAAGTGATCTGAAAGCTGACCTTTCCGGGCTTTGAAAAAGCACCGTCTGCTCGCAGTGCGCTTCTGCTTTGGGGTTTGCTCTCGAGCGTCAGAGAGCTTTAATCTTAGCGCTCTAACCCCAGCATCGCAGCTATGACACCCTGTCCGTCACATCCAAAGACTCTGTCATCCCTCATTTGAACCCTGTGTTTTAGGATTTTCTCACTGTTTCGATTTTGCATACATGCAAAAACCCCGAGTTGCACTCTTACGTGAAAGCAAACGTGGTTTGATGGACAGGACACTCAATATCCCCGTATTTCTGAGCTATGAGTTTGTATATTCAGCACTCTTTGAGATGTAGAAATGAAGTAATCTGTTGGATGGCCACTTCATTATAGCGGAATATATGTGTCGTTCTTTGCTGACACGCTTTCTTTGGAAGCGTTTCAGTGTGTGGGTTAGACGAATATGAATTAAAAAAAGACATTGAATTTTATAGCCGGCAAAGTAGGTAATCAGTATGACATTTTAACTGGAAATGGTGTGTGGGACGGTGAGTCTATCTGTGGCAGACATACGCGTTTATGGGCAAACAAACACGCCGCCGGATCCAAGAATAACTGTAACCAGACGGTGAGTGTAACCGCGCTCATGTGTCGGTCTGCTGTTTGTAATGTCGCTGTTTTCAGCTCTTTCGTTAATTCGACTCGGATGTATAATTGCTCTGGCTGAATGTTCTCTGATTAGACTTTAATTACTCCACTAAATGATAACCTTGGCGAGTCTGAAGCGAAAAGAGCGTTTTGCACATTTTGCCGTGTTTGAAAAGCGGCATCGGCAAGCGAGTACCCCCGTGTGGGAACTTGTCATGTCTCTGGTTCCGGCTCAGTTCTGATGCTCCTAAACCCGAACCCGGTCGGTCTGATGATCGTTCAGATGAGAAGTGTGAGGAGCGTGGGTTCAGTGGGCTGAGATTAATCCTCCTCACATTAAGTTTTTACGCCTTAAGTAGACTAGTAATTAAATCTTCCCTCGATTTGAGCAAAGCTTAAGGGGACAGACCTGTCTGCTGTCTATAATAGCCATCACGTCAAGGTGTTATGTGATTTCTGTCACATCCCGAGCAACTCGTCGTCGAGCCCGTGACCGTTTCCTCCTCTGGGGCCCGTTTTGCTGGCTTCTGTCTGACGCTGGAGCACCTTCAGAGATGGAGCGCTTGCCAGCCGTTCCTATCTCTGCTTCGCCAGCTGTTCCTTGATGATGGACATTAATTAGACGATTTCTTTGACAGTCAGCGTCACCTGTCCGGTTGGGCTTATCGGCTCCTCTGACGCCATGCCTTTGGGGTCTGGCCTCCAGATGCGGAGCTGCCGAGTTGAGTATGACTGCTGTATTCCCGTGTCCGTCCCGCCGTGTACTTCAGTGATGCCAACAACGATTCGGCAGAGCTGAAGGTCCTTCTTCCCCACAAAAGACAGATACCAGGGCGATTCCGTCCGATCTTTTTTTTACACTTAAGAAAATTTGACCAGAAATAGGACAAGAAGGTACTGGAAATCAAATCCAGTAACTTTCCCTTATCAGTGACACTCTCCCATTTCGTCTGCATTGCTGGTTTTGGCTCATGTCTGTGTGTGCCTGTCCGTGTACGAGACGGAGCGGTCTTAATAAAAATGGCAGCCACGAACCAGAGATTGAAAATTGAAACTGTGCACTTCATTTCGAATGATTTTATGTACAAAAAACGTTCTCTCAATCAAAGGGGGGAATAATACGTAGGCCTACACTATTTTTCCAAACTCGGTAATAGTTTGCTTTTTAATACACTTAGCAGAGCCAGACAGCTCATATATAGGCTGAAACATGAAATGAGGTAAGAGCGCCTGTGAGTAGCTGCGCCATAACCTGCGCTTACTGCCGCAGAAACGCTGACTGTCCCTGGGCCTCCATTAGGTAATTAATAACTTGAAGCACCATAAAACTACCCGTGAACAGACGCAAATAAAGAAAAAATAATAAATGTTATTTGATTATAGTATTTAAGAAAATAAACGCTTTCGCTAGCCTATGTACAGATACGACTACCATAAAAATACAACATTGCAAATGAATAAAAAAAATAAAAACATCAATAAAATACATCAATCATTTTAAACAAACATCAACCAGAACGTATTAATTCTCTTATTATTTCGCGTGCGGTCTATCGGCGTGTGTATTATAACGTGAGGCGGACCGAGGCATCACAGGAGCAGAAACACAGCCACTTACTTGCGAGAAAAACACGCTCTTTATTACATCAGGTACCCAACCAGAACCTAAACTATTACTCGTAAGAAACACAAGGTTGTCAGATGCTGAACTGTAAGAGACACACACGGTGGGAGATTTACGGAAGCTAATTACACACGAGGATCGGACAGGGTACACACAAGACACGGGCAAAGACACGCGCGACAATAAGGAAATATAACCATTAACAATAACAGCAACAATAAAAGGGCTATTTACAACTACACGCGGGGCATGCTGGGACATGCGCCCCGCCGGTGCTACAGTACGCGGGGTTGCAAGCTCACGCAGGAAATCTTACGGCAAGTCTATATTATTCCATTATAAACCTAACATTAGCTACAAAACCATTGCGGGTAGCCTGCAAACCATATAGACTATTTACAAGGTAATGAAACTGTTACATACATGTAAATGCGTGTGCAGACTTGTTTCAGATTGAAAATCTCGCGCCAGCCAGCTGACCGAAGCTGGCAACCCTGGCAGTTGATGTGTGCAGTTATTCCGTTTGTGTGTTTGTATGTATGTGCCTATGTATGAATGTAAGAGAGACCTGCTGTCTGTCCTCGTTCTCCTCGACCCCCCCGATGCCCCAGCAGACGCGGCCGTCCGGACCCTTAGCGCTTTACTCCGTGCGGAGATCTCTTGGTCTGTGTAACGAGCTCGTCGTGTTCTGGGGCTTTTTTAACCGACACGCAGAGCCGTCGAAATACCAGCTCGCCAACAAGTGTCCAATTAGGAGGGGAATCGCATTAACGCGAAAATCCGATGAAATTACACCAGCACGATTAGGAAAATGGGCCATTTTATTTCCCCGCTGTAATTGTCTCATGTAACGGCTCTGTTTTGCTTGTCTGTTGGAAAACGCAGCATTTTGGAAGATGAAGCATCCTCCTCGTAAAGTGTCTGTAAAATCGTTGGGGTTTTATAATTCTAAACGTTTAAGTAGCCGGAAATCCCGTCTTTATGCACGACGTGAGCCTGGCTGGTTCAGCTTCAATACGTCCTGTTTCCAAACTGGTTCCGCTTTGTTTAAAGGGCTTTGAGAGCACAGACACGCCAATCTTGTTAAGGGCATAAATGTATCAACATTTAGGGACCAAATCGACCTCGAACCCCCTGCTTCTCCTAAATAGACACAATACTGCCTCAATATTGGTAGGAACACGTCCCTACCGTTAGTACCAAATTTATGCTCTTGCATGCCCTGTATTTAGGTGAAGGATCACCAGAAAATCCTGTCAGTCACTGCCGATCAGTCTGTGCAGCGACATCCAACAGTGCTGCGGTCTTGTCCTTCACTTGTGTCGACGCTGACACCTGGAAGATTCTGTGGTGCCAAGGTTGGTCTGGTTCAGTGTGTACGTCCATCCATCCATTTTCTGTACCCGTTTGTCCTATTCAGGGTCGTGCCACAGGTTCAGTCCAGTATACCCATTATCCGTTTTAATGAGGGGGTAAATCCCTCCCCCAAAACCCTTTCTGTGACAGACCCCCCCCCCCACCGCAAAAGGCTGCTTCAAAGCATTTTAAAATGGACCCAGGGAACCTTTTGATCAAAGGTCAAAAGGATTTTTTTTCCTCTCATGTTTGTGCTGAAGCACTAACGAATTCCCCCCTTTCAGGGACGCAGATGGGGTCCTGGTTCGGCTCTGGGTGGGTTTGCTTAACTCTTGGCTCACTGGGCTTTATTTCCTACCCCTTCACCCCCCCCCCCCCCCCCCCCCAATCTGCAGGCTCGCTCTCTGACCAGGCGGGGTGAAGCGATGGACCTCGAGGTTCCTCATGGGCGAGGCACCACTGTGACTTTCGTTCTGTGACCTGGTAACATGCTGCACGTGTTCTCCGAGCCCGTGACCATGGTGCCGCTGTGAGGCTCAGCCAAACGTTGTTGTTGCCCCCCTTGCCCTCCCCCTCCTCCCCCCAGTGTTATGTGAGACCATGCTTCGCTTCGTGCCCCTGAAGCTGGGCCGTCTCTACCGCTGCCTGAAGCTGCTGCTGCTGCTGGGACTGTCCGTGGTGCTCCTCATGAACACCCACAGCCTGCTGGCCTCCTTCCAGAAGAACGAGCTGGCCGACCGCCGGTTCCTCGGCCTCAACAAGTGTCCCGGCTGCTTCGGCACCAGCTGGTGTCGCAAGTTTATGAACGGGCAGCTGTCCTTCGAGACGTGGGGCCGCCTCCGCTTCCTGGACATCTTCAACGTCAAGAACGTTTACTTTGCGCAGTATGGCGAGCCAAGGGAAGGCACCAGGCGCGTGGTCCTCAAACGCCTGGGCTCCAACCAAGAGCTGGCTGACATTGACCAAAAGATCTGCAAGCGAGCCACAGGCCGGCCGCGCTGCGACCTCGTCCAGGCCATGTACAAGACAGAGTTTGCACGGCTTAATGGCGACGTGCGGCTGCTCACGCCTGATGTGGTGGAGGGCTGGTCGGATCTGGTGCACTGTCCCTCCCAGAGGCTACTGGACCGGCTGGTCAGGAGGTACGCCGAGACCAAAGACTCGGGCAGCTTCCTGCTGAAGAACCTGAAGGACACGGAGAGGATGCAGCTGCTGATGACCTTGGCGTTTAATCCGGAGCCGCTGGTGTTCCAGGTATGTCCGGTCCGGTTTCCATCCTGCCATCAGCCAGCTCCACGTGAACTGGGGCCAGGCTTTTATATGCCATCGTAAGTCCTGTCCTTGATCAGAGGCGAAACTTCACAGGAGAACCTGCCTACCTAGTGCTGTCAGTCTGTCTAAATTACAGGGTTGCTGCCCTTCACCTCCCTTGCCAGACTTGGTTTGAACGAGTGGTTTCCCAGGCAACCTTCTCGGTGTTCCTGGTTTATTTTTGGGCTGTGTTGGTTTCACACATGCTTCGTGTGTGCTTCTCTGTGGTGGGATCTGGGGAGGGCGTCACACTGAGGAAGCCGGTCAGTCTGCCACATTTCTTCCCTGTGACATGGATTTTCGGGTCAGTTCTTCTTGGTGGGGCTGGACCCCCTCGATGGTTTAACTTAACTTAACACTGACCAGTGAAGTTCCACATGGGGATCTGGCTCTCCAATGCTGTGAGGGAGAGGACGTCTGCATCCTTTGGATGTGCAGCCTGTGAAGTTTTAATTCTTTGATCCCTCGCAGTCCTTCCGGAGATTTCCGTGGGCTTTTAGGCCTCGTGGTGTCTCGGAGGATTACGCCACAGCGCCTCTTCACTGTCCTGCTAAGTGCACGAGACTCATGAATTGTTTATTCGGCTGTGAACTTGTGAACTGTGTGGAACCCTGGGTTTGGGTCAGGATGCTCTCTCGGATGAGACTACCGGCAGAGATACTCCACACTTCCCCCTGCTTGTTGAGGTAAACAGAATATTCCCTTTGACTGGAAGCAAACGGTGACCCAGATCTGGCTGTTGGAGATCGAGCACATTTGTGGAAATGCAATGCTCTCTGTGGCCCTGCAGGGGGAGCTGCTCCAAGCATTGTCTCTAATGTTAAGTTCTCCCTCCTACCCCAAGGCAGTGTTTGCCGAGTGCCCTCATTTACATCTGAGTAACACCCCTGGATTGTTTGCTGAGCAAACGTGGGACCCCAATCAGCCGCTTCTCCAGCCTTTGCAGTCGGCTTAGTGGCGCTATTCCCCGCCTTTTCTGTGTGGGAAACGGGACCCCTTTTGTCCACGAAGAACAATCCTTCAAGTTGTTGTATGGCTGGTTGACAACGGCGCAACTGTACGTTCTCAGGAGCTGGATTTGCTCGGCTATGGGCCAGGAATCTATCAGAATGCTCTTGAAGACAGTTTAGCTTTGGGGGTTGAGTATTCTTGGAAGGACCCAGAGCAGTAGGACAGGCGATAATGTCTCAGGCTCTACGTTTTAAGTTTCTTTGTGGTGTATGTGTTCAAGTATGGCTTACTAGCTGCGTGATAAAGGTATATTTTGGCGTTGTATTAATAATGAATTATTTCTTCTGGTCTTCTGCCAGCTAGTAGGAAATGATTCCTGCCTGGAGAGGCATGAGTTCAGGTCCTGTAATCCTATAGACTCTTTCAAACTGGGACCAGTACATGATGTGTGACTCCATTTGGGAATGGTCCCGCTTGATGAAAGCCTGTATGTTCCTCTAAAACACTCTCCATCATGAACATGGAAGTAAATCCATATTTACTCTTAGCGGTTCTTGCAAGAGACTTTTTTCTTCTGTCCTTGCCAACCTTCGATTGAGCCGTATATGTTCACTCTGCAGGTTAAACAGGTAGAGCTGAGTTTCTTTAATAATTGTCACGCTGTCATACATCTGTGTGTTAAGGCTGAGCCCTCTAAGAAAGGCACGTGATTGCGGTCTTTTATAAAAATATTCTTCATGGGTCGGATACCCCCCCAAGTCTGGACCCAGATGGGCTCCGTTTACACGAACGATGGCTGTCATGCCCACAGCTGCTTCGCAGGGGGGGGTGGGGGGTGACAGATTATTAGAATGTCCCCCCTGAGCGGTGGCAGCTTGTGTTTACCCAGGCCTGCAGGCCACCCGGCACCAGCTGCTCCGTGTAAACGGACCAGGTCCAGGGGACCCTTCAGCGGGTCCGACGCCGTGCGGGGTCACCAGGGTCTCCGACTCATGCGGTCACATTTCCATGGCAACCCTCGCCTGTTGCTGGGAGCATGGAGGGCTTCCCCATGGGGGGGAGTCATCAAACTGGCTGCTGGTTGAACATTTTTGCAGAAGCCTCACATGGTTAGTGGTGGGGGCGGGGAATACGGAACCTTCCAGTAGCCCTATTTTATTCCTGGTCTTGCAGGGCCATGTATGGTTCTCCTGGCTGTGTGTACGGGCCACGCCCCCTAACCTGCCCCGATCCTCCCTACCCCGCCCCCTCCGATTTCATCCATGACATCGACTCGTACCTCATGCCCTGAGCTGTCTATTGTTAAATGGCCCCTGGGTCGATTCCTCGCCTTTCAGCGTCCCAATTGACTTGGGGGGGGGGCGTGGCCTGCGGCACCCATCAGCGGCATGCGTGAATGCAGTCAGTAGCTCATTTACGGTTTGATTAGCCCAAAGCCACTTTTTACATTTGATTTGGTTCATGGGGATGATAGCAACGTGCAGTAATGAGCATCAGGGACAACCTGGATATACAGATTAAAGGTCTAATTAGAAAGATCATTGCATACGCCTTCAAATGGCCAATAATTAATTAAAAAAATATCTAAATATATATCAAAAGGGTGAAGAATGACGGTGCTCGCATGGCACACACGTGGGAACGTGTCTCTTATACGTGACTGATCCTGCTTCCTCTTTTTCTTGGAAATCTGGGATACCCTCCCTCGTTCCCTCTGATGTTCCCTCTGCATACGTGCAGCTTTTAAATTTCATTCTGCCAGGGAGCATGAGTGCTCAATTCAACCAATTATTTCTTTGATTGGCCTAATTTAAGTGCCTGTCGCTCAGAGCTGAGGCTGCTGGCCAGAGTAGGACGGGGCTCCTGCTGCTGTTCCCCCCCGTCTCCGGAGTATAAAAACATCGTGCATGCAAACCCACACGGCCTGACTTTCGTTCCCTTTCCCTTTTCATATTGGATTCCTAATTAAAGGAACTGGGAAAGGTCCCAGCAGCCTAAACGGGCGATTCCCGCTCTGTGCCGTTTGTATGCTTGTGTGGCTTTTATCCCCTGGCCACTCGGGGATTCCTGCCAGTTCAGGGTCCGCGTTTCTCCAGATGAAGACGCAGGGGAGCGTAGGGGAACGTGAAAATTAATCAGAAACCGGGAACAAGCCTCATCTGTCAGCCTATGAACCGTGGAAACTGGAGGAGGGGAAAAAAGAGAGACTTTGAAACCCAAACAGACAAAACTGGAGCTGTTTTCATCTCACTATTTGAGGTGTCCGTCCCAGTACAGCTCTAATGCGGCTAAATTTTAGGAGGACGCCTCACACAGACTTCCTAACGAGCAGATCTCCGTCGCGGGATATGAAAGGAAACTCCAAACGTCTGGTTTACATGATGGGGAGCCGATTTGGGAATATGTGTTTGAATTATTTTTTTCTATTTTCATCTGACGCAAGCATGGTGCAATGGTCCGGAAGAGTGAAGCTGGGCGCGTGCCGGGATGCCGGCGAATCCCAGTGACGTCTGTCGGAAACGGCCGCTTATCCGGAAAGTGGCTTTTGCCGATTACGGGGCATGTCCCACCCCCAAGTGTTGCAGTTCACCTGAGTGGCCTGTCTTTGCGGGCTTCCCGTGGGTTTCCCATAGGTTTCCTTTGGCTTCGCACGGGTTTTCCTTTAGCTTCCCGTGGGTTTCCCATAGGTTTCCTTTGGCTTCGCACGGGTTTTCCTTTAACTTCCCGTGGGTTTCCTCTGGGTTTCCCATAGCTTCCCGTGGGCTTCCTTCAGCTTCCTCTGGGTTTTCCTGTGGCTCCCTGCAGGTTTCCTGACATCTTGATTAAACACAAACCCGTTTGGCTGCCGGTTTCCCCAGTAACACTGAGGGTGCGTCAGGTGGCCGTTTTCTGCCTTATTTACTGCTTTAAACCCACAATCCAGCCCACAGACACTGAGCTGCTGTCTGTCGGCTTCACTGTAGCCACGCTTTTGCAGATTGCGCTCTATTATCTTCTCATGACTTTGACAGTTTTCCTCGCTTGTTCTTTGAAGCTCGTAAATTCTTTTAGTCTACAGAATATATTCTGGCAGTATTTTCTGCTGCATTGCTGTGCCTGCTTAGCAGTCATGTATCTATTTGCATCGTTTGTGGCCTTTAAATCCTCTTTTGTAAACTTTGCCATTTTTGTGAGTAGCTGTTAGGGTCCTCGGTTAAGCCATGAGCCGACCGCCTCATTTTCCGGTTGCTTCAGCAGGAAGCAGAAAGCGCCCAGCCTGTATCGAGCTGCTGTTATCATGCGGGCAGCTGCCCTATTGATTAAGTGCCATAGGAGTTAATTTTCTCACTAATTGGGTGGGACCCCCCGGGACCCGCCCTCTGTATAATCAGCTCACTGTCCTGACACTATGCTTTATATCAACCCCCGCTGCCACAGCTCCTCCTGTGTTAGGGTTAGGGAGCGTCATCATTGTGTTTCTTCTCTGTGTTTCTATCACACTCCTCTGTGAGGCTTTACGCTTTCCCAGAGCCTGTGTGCCACCCCAGCTGGCCTGCTTCTGCCGGGGGGGGGGCGGGGTAATATGCTCAGCTGACCCCCCCACATCCTCTTCAAGGTTTATCCTCCCTCTGTCCCACATCTTTGAATTACAGCGCAGTGCATATTTGGCAAAGGAGCACATGAAGAATGTCTTAGTTTTTTTCCTTCTTTTTCCTTTGTTCTTTTGTTCTGTCATTGTTGTATTCCTCTTTTTGTTCTTTCTCATTCCTTCTTTCCTTATTTGCTTATTTCCTTTCCATCACGTTTTGTCCTTCTTCATTCTGCCTTTCATCTTTTTTCTTTCCCTCCTTCTTTCTTCCCTTCCTTCCTTCCTTCAGGCGTTCATCCTTTTGTTCTTTTGTCTTTTCACTCCTATCTCCCTCTCTCTCTCTCTGACAGAGTTTCCCGTCCGACGAGGGCTGGCCTTTCGCGAAGTACCTGGGCGCGTGTGGGCGAATGGTGGCGGTGAATTACGTGGGCGAGGAGCTGTGGAGCTTCTACAACGCCCCCTGGAGGAAGCGCGTGGACCTGGCCAAGCAGCTGATGGACATTGCCGAGCAGCTCACCAACAACGACTTTGACTTCGCTCTCTACTTGCTCGACGTCAGCTTCGACAACTTCGCCGTGGGGCCCCGCGATGGCAAAGTCATCGTGGTGGATGCGGAGAACGTGGTGGTGGTGGACAAGCGGCTGATACGGCAGAGTGAGTGTGCCGTGCCGCCCGGCCTCCAGCCGGGGGCGCCATCCGATGCCCAAGCTCGGCAACATTTACAGGGAGGGGTGGAAGTGGGTCTGTTTCCGGAGAATGAAGGACTTGTCTATGTACAGTTCATTTTAGTGGTATGAGTATTCCATGGACATGAATTAGTGACTAAGCAGAAACAGCTTAATTGTCCCGGTTGTGAAGATCCCATGAGAGCTGCTTCCTGTGAGTCGTGCTCCCCGGACAGACTGGTGCACACTGTCTGCACTCCTGAAGGGTGTCTGCTAACGCTAGAGATACTGTGACACCCTCACATACTCCTGGGGGCTGTGTCACTGGCCTGGGGAGGGGGGGTGTATTTTTGTACATGTCTGAGTGTCCAAGAGAGCCACCAGATGTGTGTGGTGAGTATTTATCACGCCCCCTCGCTGTCACTGGATTCCCCCCCCCCCCCCTTGGGCAGTGCGTCATAGAGTCATGTTGGGAAGCTCCAGTGCCCCTCAGCAGAACCCCCACAGGACTCCAAACTGACGACCTTGCGGTGACAGACCAGCATCTGTGTGGGACCTGCGTGGGGGGGCGCAGCACCGAGGACGGGTTTGGTTCAGGATGAGGAGGGGGGTGCTTTTCAGAAGCAAATAATTCACTTATTCTGTGCAAAGTGCTGAATCATGCCATTTAATCACTGACCTTGAGTGGAATGAATAAAAGCCCCCACCACTATTTGCTGGCATGTCCCAAAAAATGTTCCTGTGAAGGTTAAGGACTCTGGTGGTTAGTGGATACCCCCATTTGAAATAAAAAGCCCGCGTGACTCTGCCTGAGCCCAGAAAGATCAGTCCCCATCACAGCTGTCCATCAGATTCAGTCGGGCCTGAGCACCATTGCAGGAGCTGTCATGTTTCGATAGAATCGTCCAGATTTGAGGGGGGGGGGTGTGATAATATATTTGTGCAAGACTGCACTCTGGCCACGTGCCCGGAGTCCGGGGGATACACCACGTACGGGCATCCTGGCCGATGGAGGTCTCCACGGTGCTGATGTGCTGCTCTCGCTGGATTTCCGCGTGTTCCTCCATGAGCTGTTCGCTTCTCATTATGACCCTGGCGCTCTGCGGCGGCTGCTCGCAGGGTCAGCCTGTCCCACATTTAATAGCCCTGCGTGTGTTTTTAAAAACTCAGACTTCTCAGAAACTGACAGCGTACACAGTACTCGGGGACGGCACCAGAGTGAATTATGGCGTGGCGAAAACACTGGGCGTGCCGAATTCACAGCCACGGGGCGTATTATCTGCGGTACGATATTCCTAGGGCTGCAGCTTTTAAGGACGAGCGCGTGCGGTTTCAGGTAATGAGATCACGGCCAGCGAGGCCCTCAGCGGCGGTCTGTCAGGATCCTTCTGAAACACCGGGATGGGGCGGCTGGGAAACGGCTACAATGAAAACTCCGTTATTAATGGTGTAAACAGATCTTCCTAATTTGGTCATATGATCAAAATGGAGCTCTAATCCAAAATGAGGCGTGTGCGTGCGCCCCTGGGCGTCACCTGCTGCAGTGTGCATTTTAGTAAACTGCGCAGGTCTCGAACCTCCAGCTGCTCTTCCTCCACTCATCCTCGACCGGCTTGGCTAAGCTCAGGTCAGCGTGCGTCAGAGATGTATATAACTCACACAAATTATTCCCAAATGTCTCCCGCTGAGAGGGATTTGCTCCAATTCCCTATCGGAAAGCCAGCGGACAGCAGTGTCAGCTACCCTGCCTCTGTTTGCCTGTCACTCACCACGGTCAGGTTTAAAACCACACTCCTGTAATGTGGAATTCCTGTGGATAATGAGGTGTCTGCTTTCTGTCACTGTTCTCTGTGCTACATTCACATAATTATCTGGTACGTGGCAAAAAGATCAGTGAAGGTGAATGTAGGCCAAGCTTCACAGGAAGTGGCAGCAGGATGCTTGTTTCCGCACCGTCGGCAGTATGTTAGAAGTAAACATTAAAGAATAAACAATAAAGGGCTTTACAGGGAAAATGTTTTCTCCCAGTCTGTTCGGTGTTAATTTTGGGTCTGAGATGTTGCCTGTAAGTTTTACAAATTTTTTCTTAGGGCAGAGTGAAGAACGATTGATTCAGAGAGATACCCAATCAGAGTGTAGAGGAGGTGGGTCCAAGCAACTAGAGCACAAGGGACTAAGGCATCCGATTGCTTGGTCCCACCTCCTCTACAATTTGATTGGTTATGCCTCTGACCCAATAATTTTTTTCGTTCTGCCCTCAGAACATGTTCCCATGATCTGAGATGTTCCCCATGTTCTTCCCACAGACAAGCCGGAGAATTTCGACGTGTGGTACGAGAGCCGTTTCGAGGAGTGTGATCGCGAGGCTTGCCTCTCCTTCTCCAAAGATGCCCTCTGCTCGCGCGTCACCGTCGACCACAACTACTATGCCATCTGCCAGAACCTGCTGTCTCGCTACGCCACGTGGCGCGGCACCCGGGGGGGGCTCCTGCACGACCCCCCTGCTGACGTGGCCCGGGACGGACAGCTGGAGGCCTTGCTGGACGAGTGCGCCAACCCCAAGAGACGCTATGGCCGCTTCAGGGCCGCCAGGGACCTGCGTGTTTACCTCGAGCAGCTGCTCAGCGCTGCTAGGTAATGAACGGAGTGGCCACTCCCCCGCCCCCGCCCCAGCCCCCGCCCCAGCCAGTATCCCCTCCACCGGACTGAAGGTGGCTCTGTTCCTCGTCCTGCCTCACATCAGACCTCGAACTGTTGGGTGATACAGGATGTCCACTTTCTGGGACACTTCAGTTCCCAGAATTCCACTGCTGGCACTAACCCTAAGCTGTACTAGCATATCCATGCCTAACCAGCCACTCGTACCCAGGTCACGTGTTTATACCCCCCCCCCCCATGTGTCCAATAGGCAGGACCCTCCTGACTCTAATCAGATGATACAATGATACAATCTGTTCCAGAAATCCAGCTGGATCTCGAGCTTGTCCTCAGTGGCTCGCTTTAAATCAGCAAATCCATTCTCAAACCAGGCAATCATTTTAAAGGAAAGCGGTGAGGATCAAGAAGTGCATTTATAGTAATAGAAAGAACATTCTGGAATTGTGAAGCCCCGTTAATTTCAGACGTTAGACGCGTACACCAAAGAATCAGGAATTAAGGAAGGAGCTGCGTGTTGTATGAGAACTCCCCTGGGCATTTACCCGGCCTGTGGAGGAGCCCTGTGCCAGCGCATCATGAGGTCTGCACCCCTCTGGGTGTGTGTGAGGTCCTTCTCCTTTTCCACTGCAGTCTCACCTTGACGGCTTTGGCTGTCTCCCCCAACTGATAGCCGGGTCCTTTTGATTAATTAAAATGGCTGATCTCTGTCTCTTCCCTCCTCCCTCCCCCAGGCATGTTCAGGCCCTCACACCTTTGATAAATCACCTGCATTACTCTGCTCTCCTGCCGGAACCGTGGGGGGGCTTTGGTCGGATGCTCCGAGAGCCCGGCGTTCCCACTCTCGGTTAAGTGGGCCGTCCTGGATGATGCCTTACTTATGCGTGACAGGAGTGTGGGTCATGGGGTGGGGGCTGGGGGGTGGGGGCTTGGGGCTGGGGGGCTGACCAACTTCAAATAAAGTGCTGCGGTAAATCGGCCTGTTTGCAGCCCAGCAAGATCTGCTGCATCATCCAAAACCACCGAGAGACCCCCCCCCCCCCACACCACTACCACAGACACTCTGAAAGAACGGCGGAAGTATCGGATGTCACGCTCAGCCGTCTGTGAGCTCAGGGGAGTCCCGTCTTGCTCACTCTGAAAAAGCAATAAACTTTATTTTGGAAACGTGATGCTAGAATAGATTATATATCTCCCCGGCCCCCCTCCCACCCCTGGTGTGCCTGGTTCGCATTAATGACCGTCTGCTTTTGTACTGTAATCTCGTTCGATTACAATCAGCGCAGTCTGATTTTCCTGTGCCTTTCATTCAAAGTTGTACAAACACAACTTTTAGTGGGTTTAATTATTAAAGTACATGAATATGCATACTGACCTGGTGTGGGTGCCGTTTGTTCTGGGCTGGGGTGGGGTGGAATGACCCAGCATGGACTGCTTGTTTCCCCAACACTGCTGTACCTTCATGTCTGCAGCCCATCTGTACTGACCAGACACTCTGATCCCCAAACTCGTGAATTGTGGGTAATGGACTGAGTCCTGGCTGAGCCTTGGGGGCCACCAGACAGGCCCTCCCAGCGGTGTCCTTGATTGGGAGGCAGCAAAAATGTAACTTGACCAAGGGTCCCCTAGGACCGGGTTGAGAAACGCTGGTTTAAGCAAATGGGAAGCACTCCTGTTTGTCGGATGGGGGGGGGGGGGTCATCTCAATGAGACACTGCAAAATGGAAGTGTCCCCAACGGGAGTGACTCTGATACACGCGTGCTGACCGCCACACCCCTGAGCGCTGAGTCAACTCAGCCGGCCCGCCCCCTATGTCTCAATGAGACCGCGAAGCCGCCCCCCCATACACCGCTGGCGAAGCCGCATCAGTGGAAGTGCGCCATCCAAGCGCCACACCATAACTCGATGTAAAGTCCATTACACGGTCTTTTAAGACAGAAAACAAGCCACATTTTCTGGCAGGAAATAAATGTATTTACTGTCGTTTGGTTTCTAAATGCGGCTGCTAAGGCACAGCCTGCTGTATGGTGTGTGTATCCTCTGCCTGGTGCGGCAGCCCGTGGCGAACAGAACCGGGGCGGCTCCCCATGTTCAGGTGGTGATTAAGTCACGGCTGAAGAATGAAGGCAGCGTGGCCCCGGCCCCTGGCTCTGCTCTACTGAGCACAGCTTGCACCTGTACCTTTGTGCTGTGTAAAGGTGCTTTAGGCTGCCCCGTTGCACAGTAAGATGGCAGGTCACGCGCTCAACCTGCATTTGATCATGTGATGCTTGCAGGGCATTATGGGAATTAAAAGGCCACATGCACCGTGACACTTGGTGCCTGGGCAGGACACAGTCTACCCTAAGCTCAGCATGTGCAGCATTAGGTTTCCCTGGTGTCACTGTGCCAGGGTGCTGCTGAAATGTTCTGTGAGCCATTCAGGAAAACATCCCCTACATGTTTCACACTTCTGGGTCATTTTCATTCAAAATCAGTGATAATTTTAGCAGAATATCTTATATTCCATTGTTATATAACCGGAGCAGCCTCTGGATGTGGGGATTTGTGTTTTCTTTTCCTTCCTTTCTTTCAAATGATCTTATTTTCATCTCCAAGGTATTTCCCAGCAGGTGGTCTCAGCTTTCAGGGAGAATCTCATCACACGTCTGGCTGCAGTCTATCTATGTGGCACTGACTGACAGGCCTGATTTGGGGGGGGGAAGGGCGGTGTACCGTACAGGGATTATCTTATCAGGAAGAGGAATGTGGATCACGTTTGACAGAAGGAACTAACCGGGAAGGGGGTGTGCACCTGCTGTATGCTGGACAGACCCCTAGGGGGCGCATGCTGTATGGCAGAAGAACGATTTGACTGAAGCAGGAGACCCGGCCTGTCATGTCACCTGGAGATGAGCGCCCCCTGCAGTAAGGCAACTGGCACTGATTTACTGACTCCTGCTTGTGTGACCTGCCGTTGGTCCCTCAGGTGACACAGGCCAGGTGCTCTGACCCCTCAGTGATGCTGCACGTGGATGATGGACTTCATTAAACCAGGGCTGTGGAGTCGGTAGATAAATGCTCCGACTCCGACTCCTCAGTTTCTAAATCTTCCGACTCCGACTCCGACTCCCCGACTCCGACTCCTCTGTATGTATATACTATGCTAATGTATTTTCTACATCCATTGAAGGAAAGGAAGGCAACATACATGTCATTTCACCACAGAACTACTGGCTAGGAAGCCAACACTCTACTATAATGCCAGATTAAAGACAAACACAATGAAAACAAGGTTTCAAGGGTAGCGCATAGCGAAGGGGAGCTGACGGAGCTGAGAACACACCAGGTGATTTTTCAGGCGTTTGACGCGTGATGACTCGTTGAACGGCCGAAAAATCGGCAGTGCATCTGTAAATGTATGGGGGGCTTTAGGCTAGGTTCACAGTTCCCTGTAACAGTGGAACACGACACAATGGAAAGCGGTGCCGCACCTTACCTGTGCATTACATCCCATATAGTGACGCATACAGTCAATGAAAAGCATGCTTCATGGTTACTTGACATGTTCGTTTTGTGGTAACATTATGCACTGCATGCATTGGGCTTTATTCTTACAGCAGAGAAGTAGTTCATTATGACTGTTTGTGAATTGGGACATTTCAACTTACTTTTTTAATTCCCATTTAAATTTAGTAGGAGTCGGAGTCGGTTAACTTTTTGCCGACTCCGACTCCGACTCCAGGTACCCAAAATTGTCTCCGACTCCTCGACTCCGACTCCGACTCTGACTCCACAGCCCTGCATTAAACAAAACTTCATTTATTAAAAAAAGACTTTTATAAATGAGCCCACAAAAGGAGGCAGCGTCCGAGTTGTTAGCTTATCTGAAGAAACTTACCATTTTAACATTTATACATCTCAATGGAACAAGCAGGTTTTGCTCAAGAGTACAACTGCAGGAACCATCCTGGGACCCCATCAGGTTAGAAATTCATGTCCCTACTCAGTACGTCCCCTGCTGCCTCTTGTGCAACGTGATGGTGAAATCTAATGGCACAATGATGATTTATTGAACAGCGCATGTGTTTAATGTTTAAATGCAACTGCCTGCTGGCGCCATGGTAACGGCAGCAGTGCAGCTTCTCCTGCGGGTGACACTAGAATTTATGCAGAGTTGCACAGGTACAAATTACATCATTGTAAATTTATGGGTGAGGACTTGCCCCCCATACCTGTCTTACTGTCCCAGAGAGGGGGTTTGGGGTCTTTCTGACCAATCACAGCTTGCTGAGAGGTTCGTCCAGCACGTTTTGGGGATTTTACAGAGTGTTTCAGTCCTATGATTCACAGGCCTGATTCCTCTGGGGCATGAGAGTGCGGTGGCTGTGGGTGGAATGCCGGCACGCCTTTAATTTAACCAGCGGGGGGGTGGGAATCAGAGCAAGGTAGCACTGGTTCTGTACGGATGCATATAGCAATAATGAGGCAGGAGATGGGGGCTTGTGTGGGCACAAATTCACATTCAGCAATGGCCACCCTATCTCCACACGGAAAGAACTGGAAGATTGACCGTGTCACTGGAGTTTGGAGTCTCTGTGCACACATACATTATGGATATGGGCACAATTATGGGCCAATCATACATTTATACTTAAAAAGAAACAGGATGAATATTTAAGGAGAATATTTTTGTAAATGAGGAAATGCTGGCAGGCAGATGGCAACGGCTTTTATAGACGCAGTCTTGCCTGCCGACGGTGTATAATTGATTTCCTGAACATTTTTAGAAGCCAGTTCAATTTAGGGACAAAAAATGGCAACAGAAGAGAGTCTTTCAGAGCGGACTGCAGGGGGCAGCGCTGTTTCCGTCTGTCCGGGGCCGTTTGAGTCGTGCAGCAGAGAGTTCTCTGCAGGTTGGGAGTGCCCTCCTGTGAGGGTCCTCCGCAGGCTTGACTTGCTCTTTACTCTCACCTAGCCTTTCATTTATAGGAGAGAGGCACATTTATGCAGTGAATCGACTAAAGACCCCCCCCC